GGGTGGAGTCTGCTTGTGTGTGCAAACTTGTGCAGCACCTCGTGCTCCCACAGACTGCGTCGAGCATGCGTGTGCTCCTTGTGCAACACTTGAAGGTACAGGTCTTTCCTTGAGCAGTGCACACCCGTGCACTTTCAGCAGTAGTTTGCAGCTCGGCTATCCTTCCAACTGGGAGTGAGCCTGAAGCGAAATCCCTCCGAAGTCACCACGTGGAAAAAAGAGTGAGCTCTGCACTCAGCTGTTGCGCAGTTGAGACTTCTTTGCGTTGTCGGTTGCTTTAGGTCTTGTGAGCTCCCTGCCCCTTCCCTAACTGCAGCCTTTTAAGCTCGAGGTGGCAAGACATTTGCGTGGCATTAAAAGGCTGTAATTAACCGCTGAACGACCTTTTCTGACAAAGTCCGTAAGTCGCAGCTTGTTTCACCGCTTTTGGTAGCTTTCTTGGTGTTTGTCTTTTTTGTTTGGTGCTTAACCTAGGACCGAGTGCGGCAGCCGCCGTCGACGAGGCCTATCCCCGCAAAAAAAAAGAGCCTGAAGCGATTTGGCGCAAGGTGCGCACTTGCAGCAGAGATCTTTGTTTTTTTTGTGTTGTCAAATCAAGGTTTTGGACAGTTTCTCCTCTTAGTTTTTTGTCGTTTTTCAACTTCTAAATCTGTTTCCAAGGTGACTCCGTGCTGCAGGCTCGCAAGATTTTCACATATCGGCTGAAGGAAATCACGGGCAAGGCTAGATCTACAAGTATTCTTCTTGGAGCAAGGCAGACGTCAACTGTGCGACCTTGACCCGGTGACCATATGAACACACTGCAGCCAGTTCATTTTGTACGTGTAGCTTCGGACAGTGACTTCAGACAGCACACGCAGAACTCCTCTCGTGCATGAAGTAAGGGATTCACAACCATACTTGCAGATTTGTACCGTTGCCAACAGTTTTTATTTCTTTGCAGGGGGCACAGATCTGTCTTGGATACCGTGCCAACGAAGCTATTCCAAGACAGTACCTGCGAACACGGCCAGCCCGAATGTACCCTCAAAGCTGCTGTTTTCGGCCGAAACATGATTCGAGAGATCAACACTAGAGTGAATGCCTGCGCTGTTGCCACAATCTGACATGCATGATGGCCCGACTCCATGTCTTTGCGTCTGTCTCTGCTCTCTGTGCGTCTCTCCGTGTATCTATTTGTGCGTCTGTCTGTGTCTGTCTCTATCTATCTGTCTTTGTCGGTGCCTGTCTGTCTTGTTTGTGTCTCTGTCTGTATTTATTTATTTATTGATGTATTTTTATCGTGTCTATTCACTTGGGATTATTTATTTCTGTAGCCTAGGTTTTTTATTTACTTGTGAGCTCCAAAATGAAACTATAAAGTGTTTTCTTCCGGTTTCAACTGCTTATAAACTCAGCTTGGTTGGTTGACTGCTGGAACAACGACTACAAAATACGAAGTTGTAAAAGTTGCTTAGAAGCAAATTTCACTGCTGTTTTGGGCACATCCAAAACCATTGCGAAACCTCTTTATCAGGACAGAATTCAGTAGAACTTGAAAGAGATGGAGCCGGTCGGCCCGCAGCAGGGTTCTCCCTGCACGCTAATTGGTTCGAAGGCTGACCACAAAAAAGGTTCAACCGGGGAACCGATTTTGGAGACAGAATTTTGCAGCAATTTTCGGCTTCATCGACGTTCGACTGCTTGTCTCATGTGACCTGGATCATAAAAGTTCAAGCATGCAAAAAAATGCATCTTTTGATGGAGGGTGGTCGAGTGTCGCTTTCGCGCAAGATCTTGGAAGTTTGCTTGCTTAGGCTTTCTTTGCACAAGACTGTTCTTGTTTGTTCAATTTAAAATTTATTGTGGGACTTGAACGATTGCACAGTTCTGTTTGGCTCTGTGGTTCGGGATCCACCGCGAATGAGCCCCTCTCATGCAGCTATGCAGATCTTCTTGGTTTTTGACACAGAATCTCCCTCTGACACAGGAACTCAAGTTTGTGGTTGTCAACATCTTGATATTTGCAAATTGCCCCACTCAGAATGTGTGAAATCGGTTGGATTGTGAAGATTGCGCTTGCATGAGGCATGAGTGTTTTGTTTTTCATGCCAAGATTCTCCAAAATGCTGAGTGCTGTGAAAATCTTGTTTTGCGCGATTTGTCCAATGGGATCTGCTACATTTAGGTTGTCCAGATGTACACGCGATGCAGGCGCGGTTGTGTTGTAGGTGTTCATTGGTCACAAATTTCAGGGCAGCAGAAATTAGATTCGCATGGCAATAGTATCGACATGTAATTCACGCCAAAAACAGGCGAATAACGTGCTTTTCAGACAAGCAACGTTGCACAAGTTGATCTATTGAAATTTCGCTTGCATTTGGTATTCATGCTGGAGTGACAGTGTTGCTGTTATTCCTTGAGGGTAGAGTAGTATCACAACATTTTGGAGAGTGCTTGATTGCCCGCTTGCGATCACATCAAGCATGATGACCTTCAAGCAAGTTCAAAATTGGTGGCATGCACAAGTCCTGGGTGTCGACGAACGAATGGTGAAATGCCATGTGATTCAATGCTTCCCTGCATCAAGAGCGCTAGACAAATTTGTTTTGTTGGTCGGAACGGATGTAGAACACGCTTCAACTCAACACACACTAACATGTGGCTCCAACCCTGAACTTGGAGGCTCCAAGAAGAAGACGTTGGTATTACTCGTAGTCCATCTGTGGGATGCTTGGAAGTGACATGTTTTGAGAAGCTTCATGGGAACTTTGTGGCAAGGGTGTTTGTTGCCCATTAGGTGGGTGGAAGCTTGGTGTGAGCAATGATGATGTTTTGTTGTGGCATCGAGCCAGTCTCTGAAACAAGCATGGAGTGTGATGCTCTGGTTTTTTGATGGCACGAAGAAGGCAGGCACCATGAACGGAAGATTTGGTACGTGATTGGCTGACATGCCGGAAGAGCTGCACGTTTAATGTTTGCACAAGTGCGGCAAGTAGAAATAGAAGTAGCTGTCTCGGAGCATATGCTTCGTCGTGGGCTGGAGATGCCATTCGGACGTTCATGCTTCTTTGTCGGAATGTAACTGTTCGCTGCCGTGCCCAAAGGCTCAAGACAGTCCTCGCTTTCCGCACGAGGCAGCAGTCTGACTTAATTCTAGTTTCCGTGAGCTTATTGCGCAAAGATGTGAGTGCCTTGGTGGCTGTCCGGACTCCGATGTGGACGTAATGTCCAAGGCATTGTTCGTGTGTCTGACGGTGCTAACTGCCGGCGAACGTCTCGGCGAGAACTCCGCCCTGGAGCCGGAGGCAGCCGGACTCGTCTTGAGACACAATATAGACACAGTCATCATAATGACCCCAATCATTTGAATAACCATAGTAAGCATAAATTGTAATCATGACAAGACACTTGCAGTCCTGTGCATGGCATCCAAGGTATACAAGCCCTTGCCAACGCTTTGCAGTTATGGTGCGGTGATTGACCTCCAAGGAGTGTACCAAGTCCTCCAAGACGTTGTGATCACGGTGACCCGAGGGTGCAAGCTGCAGGGAGTTGCTAAAGGTGCAATCATCCTTCTGCATGCACACCTCACCTTCGAAGAAACAGGCTTCCAGCAGCTTGTATCCTTCAGAATCGCAAGCAGACATGATGTCAAGATTAGAGAGCTTCGAAATTTGTTGTGACAGGTTCTGATGATGAACCAATTTCTCTCGTTGGTGCCATACGCTTCGTGGGGAAGAAATCCTTCAAGCAAGCGTGTGTGACTGTCAATGGCCATCTCATAATTGGTGGTGATGATTGGGATCCGGATGCCAACGTCGAATTCGTCAGTTGCCACAACAAGGCATCCTTTCTGAGCTAGTCTTGACATTTTTAGTCGTCGGAGCTTCGGATTCCTGTGTTGTCGAAGCATTTCTTGTCAGTGCTACGAGGGCACGACGTCTTATGGCGGGGCGCTGCACGTAGTGAACGGCTTGACCGTGCGATCTGGCTTTCTCACGATCCGGGACAGCAGCAGCTCGGCAGGCGGGTCCGTCGCGCAGGCCGCGTTGCCCCGTGCAGAGCAAACTGTGCCAGGTGGTGGAGGTCTTTACATTCACAACGATGGGCTTCATCAACGGGGTGGGAAGATCCTGTTGCAGAACTGTGGATCGGATGGCCATGGCGGAGGCCTCTACGCCGGCACAGCCGGTGGCTTGCAGCAGGATGCTGGTGACATCAGCTGTGTAGGGTGCACTGCAGCTCAGCATGGGGGATGCCTAGACATCGATGGCATTGCACGAATCGGCGGTTCCATCTACGCGGAGAAGTGTTTCGCTGGCTCAGGTCGGAGACGGCTTTAGAGTTGACTGTAGCGGGAGTGGAACGTGTCGGTATGAGAAGCTGTCTCCCCAGGCGGTGCTGTCTATGTGTCCGGCGAGTTGGTTTCCTGGGGTCTCCTGGAGCTGGCTGGCTGCAGAGCCAAAGCAGGCATGGGCTCTCGTCTAATAAAGGGCCTAAACAAATTTGAACAAGTGTGATGTACTCCAATGACCAAGGCAAATACATCAGCATTCAAGTTTGTGCGGTCGCGATGCGCGTTCACCTCTCCGATTGTTCTCGCACAAATCGTTGCTCCTCAGACGCTTGAACTGTTCCGGAAGGCGGCGGTGGGGGGCTCCTGGTTAAGTCCGACTTCACCCAACATAACGGCAGCATGAAGTTTCGGTCATGCGCTGCCTCCGAAGATGGAGGCCCATACGCTTTTCTTTGCTCATCGGCCCCATGTCCTTGACCTGGTCATCCTTTGAAGGTGCGATGGATCTTGGCAAAAACATGTATGCATCGGGCACTATGGCGTTCTACGCATGCCGCGCAGATGGCGATGGCCCGGCTCTCAGACGTCATTCACAGGGAGGCACTCGTACTTGGCATGTGAGATGAGCGTGCATGAGTTGACTGCAGATTAAAGTCCTGAGGCGGGGCCATCAATCTCCAAGACGACCTCCAGCAAGCAGGTACTGGAAACATGAGCTTCGCCTCTTGCGCTGCGCGCCGGGGAGGTCTCGGTGCCGAATCTCAGCATTGTGCGGAGACTTGTTTCTTCTCTAGCAAGGTGCAGTGGCCGTTCGCCGACTCGAAACATCTGGCATCGTGAAGTTCAAAGATTGTCATGCGGCAGATTCAGGTCTTGGGTGCTTTTTGTAGCTCCCGCTCCCTCCCTCTGTCTCTCTCTCTCAGTCTTTCTCCCTCTTTTTTGTTTTTTAACTGGTTGCCAGGTGGTGCCGCTGTCGTGGAGACCGACTTCGCTCAAAAAGCCGGCCGCATGGAGTTTGAGTCATGCACTGCCGGAAAATCAGGAGGCCGGGGCATGCCAAAGACTGAGCTCACGACAGCAGGAGCGTTCTACCTTGCCGTCAGGGGCTGCGGTTATCCGTGGTGATCTTGTTTCTGACGGCCAGTGCAGCGTCACGGCTTGCCGCGCAGAAGAAGGCCGTCTAAATTAAGGGAGCTGTCATCTGATGCAGCGATCAAGCGTGATTTCGGCACGAGCCGTTTCCAGCCTGCCATGTCTTACCAGGCTCTGTCCTCGAGGTCTTGGGCGACATTACAGTCCAGGAATTTCCGGCAGATTGCCCAGATGGAGAGAAGAACTTGACAGGAATGTTTCTGGTCGACTGGCTGCCGAGCCTTGATGGAAACTGCAAAGTTAGGGGCACAGGTGCTACAGTCCTTCTCAAAGAACCTCTGGTTTTTGAAGGACTGCACGTGCTGAGTAGAAGGAATCCATTTGTGTCATTAGTTCTTTCAAACAACTTGACTTGGGCTGCATGGGAAAGAGGAGCTGTTGAGTTCCTCGGGCTGATCACCTTCATTGGACTGTCACCGATGGAACAAGCTTGCGTGACTGTGCACGGCTCCGTCACCATTGGTGGCTCGGATGAAGCTGACATCCTGTTCGCAGACTGCCACAACGAGGCAGTGCAGCTGCCTCAAAACCATGTGACATTTCTACTTCGTCAACGATGTGTCTGACTGCTTAGATCCAGAAGTGCAGGACAACACGTCTGCTGGTGGAGCGCTCCACATTGCACGGGGCCTTGCTGTCGTCTCTGGTGTGTTGGAGATTGATCGAAGCAGTAGCCTCACAGGCAGGTGACATAGGACCGCCAATTTGTGAAGTTTGGTTTTGATTTGTGTCCCGTCTGGCTCCAGGCGGTGGTGGGGTCTACATCGACAGCGGCAATCTTCGACAAGCCGGTGGCAGGATCAAAATCAAAGCCTCCACTTCAGCAGACCTCGGCGGAGGCTTGCTGATCAACAATGGCAGCCTCGTCCAGTCAGCTGGACAAATCAGCTGCTACAACTGCTCTGCGAAGCGTGGTGGATGCCTGGCACTAAACAGTGTGGACAACTACAGCTTGCAGACGAATGGTTCCCTTGAAGCGGAGAGCTGCACGGCTGCCGCAGGTGCGGAAACCGAGCCGCTTCTTGAATATCATCGGACTGACTGTTGCCTGTGCTTTGGAGGTGGTGGGCTACACATCGTCGCGGGAGACTGGGTATCATTTGGCAGGATTACTTTTAGCAACTGCCACGCGCAGAAGGGTCAAGGCGCGGCCGGCAGTGTTTAGAGGGTTTCAGCATGCAGAAATCAACAGATAGAGAGATCGATAGACAGACGGACAGACAAACAGAGAGAGACAGAGACAGAGAGAGAGAAATACTGCTTGCTCTTCCTTTGGCTGTGTGGAAGGAAGAGAGATCGATAGATAGATAGATCATATATGTTCTATGTACACACGGTCTCGCATACAGACTACATCGTTAAGAAGGAACAAATGAGCTGTTTTCGATTGCTGACAGCTGCAGATAACTTGACTGGAAGGTGGTGCTGCCTGGGTGCGGGGCAGCGTCTTTCAAATGAAGGGCAGCATGACCTTCGCATCGTGCACGGCTGTTGGCGAAGGCCGACCGTGCTAATGTCAGTTTGCGTGAACTTTCATTCTTTTTGAGCACAGAGCTCTCGGTTGAAGGTCGCAGCTCACAGCAAACAAGCAAATCTAGCAAGCACAGATTTGCCATGCCGCGGGCACCGGGATGCTTCATGCCAGCAAGCAAGCCAGAAGCTGTACTCCCTTCGTGCAATTGATTTCATTGCAGACTCTTTGGGACCATATGTTTAGGCTTTAGGGCAGTTTGGGGTTCGTCATGCTTGGCGAGGGCGAAAGATGACTCCAATTGTTGTGGCGGTGTTCATGGCGTTTTACTTGTTGAGGAAAGAAAGCCTCAGGGGATTCGCACGTGATAAAGCTGGACATAGTGGGTTACGACTCCGCACGGTTGCTAGAGTGTGGAAAGAAGCCTGTCTTCGCAATCCTATTCTGCCAGGAGGTGGCGGTGGTATGAAGGCGACGGGCAGCTTCGTGCAAGAGGGAGGATCTCTTTCCTGCCAAGCCTGCAATAGTCAACGTGGAGGTGGTTGTATGCACGTTGTCGACAAGTTCGTCCAGTCCAAGGGCGGCTCCGCCAACTTCAAAGCTTGCAACGCATCCGGTAACGGAGGCGCTTTGAGCATCGAGAAGGGGGTCTTCTTGGGTGGCAACAGCACTTTTGAGGACTGCAGCTCCACCCGTTCTCCGGAAAGCAAGAGGCAGTGCTAAGATTAGGTTGTGGGTGGTCAGGCTGTCAGAACATACTTTGGTTTTCCATCTTGGACCGAGTTCCGAGGCCATGACGGTGGCTGCCTTCACACCAAGGGCCATGTGGACTTTCACGGCTCTGCCATGTTTGCCGGCTGTGAAGCTGCTCGAGATGGTGGTGCCGTGTCGGCCCGAAGTGCGGAGAGCGGTGCACGCATCACCTTCGAAAGCTGCAGGGCAGGATGGAAAGGCGGTGGCCTGTACCTCGAAGCGTTTCGTCAGACAGGCGGCTCTGTGACGTTCGCATTCTGCCGGACTGATGTCGGCAGCGGAGGAGGCACGCTCGGGAACAGTAACTGCAAGCAAGCGCATGCCTTGTCCGTGCAGGCCTGTACCTGAGAGGGGACTTCCGGCAAGATGGTGGGCATACCGTATTCGACCGTTGTCAGGCAGACAACCTCGGCCAGGGTGGCGGCCTGTGTATCGAAAAAGGCTCATTAATACAGAAGGCTGGGACCCTGGACATCGAATCGTGCAAAGCAGGCAGCGCAGGCTCGTGAACCGAAATGCAGTTGCGGTCAGTGAATCATTTACAGCTTGACATTGGTCCGCAGCAGTCGTCGGTAGAGGGGTTTGCGCCGTGGGATTGATCTTTTCAAGATCAGCATTCAATCATTTACAGCTTGACATTGGTCCGCAGCAGTCGTCGGTAGAGGGCTTTGCGCCGTGGGAGACCTGTTTCTTGACAGTATCAACATCAGCCCTAGAGCCCTGCAGGTGGGGGAGGAGCCGTCGAGTTTGACGTCATTCAGCATGGGGGCAAGCTTTCTGTTGCAAACTGCTACAGCAAAACGGATGGAGGCTGTATGCACATTGGCGGCAACTTTACGCAGGAGTCTCGTGGCGTGGCTCATTTCTCTAAATGCCGCGCCGATCTCGGGGGTGGCTGCCTTGGCGTAAAGCAGTCCGTGCACGTTGAGGGCGACAACACGTTCAAGTTGTGCAAAGCTGATGGAGGAATCACAGTAATCAGAGGAAGCGTTGGACCAGGCCTACGAGCTGACCCTCAAACACACCGTAGTGTCTTGAGAATGCATACAGTAGATGTCCAGTGCTGCTCTCAACACAACAGTGCCTGGAGGTGGAGGTGGGTTGCTTGTTCATCGCGACTTCTTCCAGAATGGCGGAGCTATCCGCTTCGAAAGCTGCAAGGCTGCTAGGGGCTTTGGCGGTGGACTGCAAGTCCTTCATGGGAACCTCACAGCTGCGTCTGGGGACATGTTTTTTTTGCGATGCTGGGCGCGCGGTGCTGGCGGTGCTTTTGTAAAAGAAGGCCATGTTCACACACAGGCCAATGCAAATATGCGCTTTAAAAGTTGCTCAACAAGCCATGATGCGAGTGGTGGAGGCCTGCAGTGTCGAAGCTAGTTTCGTGCAGCCAGTCTTGCAGAGGTTGACATCCTCGAATCCCTAGCTTTTGAGAGGTATGGGCCTTCGGCTTGGAAGCCTCTTCCAGCGCGGTGGTCACATCAGGTTCTCCAGCTGCGCAGCACCTGGTGGCAAAGGAGGGGGGCTAGCGCTGCTCCAGGGATCTCTGTACCAGTTCACCGGTAGCCTGGGCTTCGAGGGCTGTGGCTCTGGTGAGGGCGGAGGACTTTTCGTTCGCCCCTTGCTTGAAAGATGGCTCTGGCTGCTTAGGCTTTGTTGCGGATGGACTAGTTAGCTAACATGAGGTGCATGGGTTGTGTTCTGTTGAAAGAGTCCTTTCGGGAGGAGGATAGCAGGGATCCATTGCCTCCCCAACTCAGAAACACTAAACTGCCCTAAACCCTACACCCTAAGCCCCAAGCCACAAAGGCAAGGATGTGCTGATGGCCGGGGCCATGAATTTCAGCAACTGCAAAGCACATCGACAAGGCACGGGTATTTTTTACAAAGCGAAGCAGCAAAGTATAATCACTCCCGAGTCTCGGATGCCGTTGAACTTGATCGAGACCAAAGGGAAGGAGCCATTGACGAGGAAGTTTTCCCAGTGTTGAGCTTCCCCTGTCTACCTCTGATGCATTTGTGACAGGCTTCAGCATGTGGGGTCGCGTTTTCTGCGACAGCAAATCTGTCGTTTCAATGCAGCATGTCGGCAGATACGCGCATCAGAGCTTTGTCCCACCCCATTCAGGCGGAGGCGGTGGAGCCGTAGTGAAGCAAGATTTTCTTCAATTTGCTGGAGAATTATTTGTCGATTCTTGCAGCAGTAACACCGATGGCGGTGGTCTCCTCGTCGGTGGCACGTTCAATCAGGCGTCCAACACTTCGGCCCGATTCGCAGCTTGTCGAGCACGCGTTGGAGGTTGCCTGGGTGTCAACGGTTCGGTCTATGTCAGTGGCTCCAACACTTTCGAGCAGTGCATCGCTTTCGGAGATGCTGAAGGACTGCAGAGTTTGTAGACGCCCTGACATTTGGATAATGTGTTAACATGTTGTGTGCACTGGCTCAGCACAGCAAGAACAGTGCAGGTGCAGGTGGTGGCGGAATCTACACTCAGCAAACCTTTGCTCAGCTCGGCGGCATCACCAACTTTACGGAATGTCGCACGCTGAGGGCCGGCGGCGCATTGCGGATCAGGAACGGCAGCCTAATCGCGCATTCGGGCACTTTGATTTTCGAGTTGTGCGCTGCAAATACCGGCGGAGGAGCAAAGGTGGGCCTTCATGTTTATGTTCGACCAGAAGCCACGATGCTCTTTCGTGAATGCATCTCTTACTATTTTGGTGGAGGCCGGCATGGGCCAAGAGACTCCTGAGATTTAACAACTTGGTTTGATAGGGTTCTCGTCATCATGAACGCAAGATCGGAACGTTAACTTCCGGTCGGACTCCTGCCGCTACAAGGGAAGTGACGACCATGGACTGTTCGTACGAAGAGCACTGCATCTATTGTTGGTGCTAGCAACACTGCTTCTCTGACCATTGCAAAGTCTTGAACAACTGTTTCGACGAGGATTCGTGATTGTATTACCGGTAGCACAGGTAGTACAGGAGCATTTCACATACCGCAGCCACTGCTGCCGTCTGCGAAAAGTTTTAGTAGGATCCCATATATGATTTAAGGTAATCGTCTGCCGCCGCCGCCGCTGTCGTAGCGGTGATGGCCACTGTCGTGGTCGTCGGAGTGGCTTTCGGCGTTGACAACGCCATCGTCGACGCTGTAATGTGATGCCATGGTGGTGCTGGTAGTGGTGGTGGCGGTGGTGGTGGTTGCGGTGACTTTGGTGATTGGTCGGGGTGTTTATGTTGGTGAGTATGAATGTGCTGATGCCTCCAGGTTACGCTTGCTTG